ATAGCAGGACTCGATAGTCATGGTCCGTAGCGTGCCAGCATCAGCATTTCCACCGCTGCACTCGTTCGGAGGTTCATGAACCACAGAGATCCCATTCCAGCCAAAATTACCATAAGAGGCCGTTCCGTTTTGTTGTCATCTATCAACATGCCACGTTGGCCAAACAAGCGTGCACCTGCCGATACATCATCCATTCATGCAAGCACGGCTAGGAAGAGGGGCCCAGAAAGGCGGTCGGAATACCAGACGGACCCCACTCCTTGCTCATCCCTATGGAGTAGATTCAGAGTCTCGGGCCAGGTGACACGCATAGCTCCTGCAGGAGATCAACAGGCCGAAGCAGTGCTCCTGCGGCGGAATCTCATTGACTGCTACATGCCACATATGTTATAGCCAGTCCTCGAAGCATACACGACGACAGACTTCACCTCATCCCCGACGCCGACCTGGCCGACAATGCTAGCCGCCGACCTTCCCAACACAATGCCAGCCGCCGATCTGTTCGGGCCGACGTGGAACTAGGCTACTAAGTTGTGTTACTATCAGCGAGCGATGCACAGAAAGATCAGCTCACCGTACAGTAAAGCACTGCTAACGGTGTACTGGTGAATGGAAAGCACCCGCGTCGTGAAAGCCTCCGCTCGTCGGAAGAAAATCCACGCTCTGCGGGAGAACAACAGAAGATGCCGCGCGGTAGGCGCCTCCGTTCTATGCATAGTTCCCCCAGCGCATCGGGCCATAGTAGGACATCGAGTCGTGCGGCCCAGTTGTAGGTACAGCGCGCGCCAGAGTCTGCAAGGCGCACAGTCACCAAAGTAAAAACGCACGGGCGCCAGGATCTTGAAGCGGCAGAGTCGAGGTGCGTGGGCGCTACGGTCAAGACGCCAGACCGCCCGCTACGCAAGCCCGGTAAGCACATCCGAGAAGCGGCGCGCGTCATGAGCCTACGCGTGTCCTAATCCACCTACACTGGCATGGATGGTCGCGTTATAGCCAGAACAAGCGCGTCGATGAGATATCCTAATTTGCCGATGAGATGACCCGGCGCGTCGATGGGATATTCCGACGCGTCGATGGGATATTCCAACGCGTCGATGGGTATCCCGGCGTGTCGATGGCTGGCCTGGCGCGTTGATGGGATAACCTGACGCGCGGACGGGATAACCTGACGCGTCGACGGGATAACCTGACGCATCGAGGGTGTAGCCTACTAGCGTCGACTCGTCGCTTGCACTTGCGCTGTTTACTCTTAGAGTCAGTGAAGATGGACGAAGCTGGAAGGAGCAACGTACGATGCTTATGATTTCTCAGAGTGTTCGGCAAAGGCGTTCGGGAAAGACCGTAGACGAAGAGCAGGGACTTGAAGAGGTGGACGTCGTGGCGGGGCCTCGTAGGAAACGGGGTCGTCTGTTTCGCCGAAGGCAAGTCATCTTCTGAAAGACGCGCTCCAAGTCCAAGAGCGCAGGCGAGGGTCGCTGGCGACCGTGTATACGACGGGTGCGCAACAGACGCATTGATGGACCTGTCCGAGGGAGCTATAGGGTAGAGACGCCGAAAGGAAGGTAAAAGACGTCCGACACAATGAGATACGGTGGGAGTGTACCGCAGGCGAGTGAGGATATATCATGGTACGAGCGTCGGGGCATTGGACCTGCTGCGTTGGTTGAGGAGAAGAGGGGCGATCGGCGTAGACCTTGGATGGCAAGGACCCAAGTTGAGGAAGACGTCGGATCGTATGTATCAAGACCCGGAACGCTTTGCCATCCGTGATGTAGGCCACTAGAGATGGGGAAGCCTGAGGTGTGCGTGCGATGCTCGTGCTCGTGCTCGTGGTGAACGCTCAAGTTGAGCGAACCATTTCAATGTGACGATGCGGTAACAAGCGTGACTCGTAACGTAACGAGCGCAGGCCACGTGTTGTGTGAGTCATCCGTAACTTCCATTCCCCAAGTCAGCGCCGAGACTCGAGGTTCTGACCTCAGGCTCCGTGCAGATCGCCTCTGTTCTGTCTTATATCAGTGCTATGAGAATCCTGCGACAGCTTGGGCCTTCTTGAGTATAAAAATCGCGAGCAGGCACAGCGCGTCGAGACGCTGCACAGGAAGCCCCTGACACTCATCAAGCCACAACCGTCGCAGTCTCTCCACGTTCGGAAGACTGACCTCTATCTCTGAATACATCTAAATCAGTGTGCGATGGTCCTGCTGACCCCCTCCGTTGGAATAGGTCGAGCGCTGCCCCCGCCATTCACGGCGTCTTCCCCGGATCTTTGGCCGCGGCCCGTGGGCCATGGCCATGGACTCGGACGCTTCTATTCATCAACATCGCCCCCCGCCTTATCATATGCTGCATATCAACCCCCCAGGTACGCATCACCCTTCTGCCAAAGCTTAATTTCCTCGCTGACTGACGTACCTTCCTTCTCTTGCACATATAAAGCGCCCGACACCGCCGCGATAGCCAAAAGGCCGCGACTCAGACGGACGTGCTGCCGATGCTGCGTTCCGTCCCATTCATTTTCGTGCCCAGCTGGACAGCGGGCATCTGTTCCGAGTGCTGAGATCTGCTCTAGGCGTTCAGGTCAGCGCGTTATATACCGATCGCTGGTAGACGGGAGGGAACGTCCTGGGATCCGTCCTCCCTCCGGCTGCGAAGATGTCCAATCTTCCCACAAATCCGAGCCCGTTGCTCATCGGCGACGTGGCGAGCCTGCAGTCTATCCTCATGCAGGTCGCGGTGGATGTCTTGTTCTATGGTGAGCCATCAGCTTTCGTCCCATGCCCATCCAAACCGACATTCCCAGGTGTTCAGGCGGCACTCTTCATCGCAGCAATTGCCTCCCTCGCGTGAGCTTCTCGATCTCTCTCACCAACCCGTTGCTGACCCGTTTGTCACTTGCCTCATCAACCGCCAATTAACACCCATTCGCCCTCCCTGCCGACCGCCTTTCGTCCCGACCGCCTCTGTCTCTCCCAATCGTCCGCCCCTCCCGACCGCATGCTCCTCCCTCCCGCCCGCCCTCTTGAACATCCGCCTCTCCCTGTCGTCCGTCTCTCCCCGTCGTCCGCCCCTCCCTGTCGTCCGCCCCTCCCTCCCGCCCCCGAACACCCACTGTTTATCCTTCTCAGCCGTCAAACCAGCCGCTCCCTACTCCTACAAACCCCCATAATCATCCTATTCCTCACCTCGACGATGGGCACGATCGCCATTCTCATATTCTACACCATACAAATGCCCCAGTACGGCCTCCGTCCTACGGATATTCAGCGCGCGATCTTTCAGCTTTCGGTGGTGCTGTCGGTGACGGATAGGGTTAATGTGAGTGTGTGTGGATGGGCGCGGACGCGTGGATGTGCTTATGAGTGGGGATGGATGTGGACGTCTGGATGGGCGTCGACGGGAGCTCTGGTGGGGAGGATGTCGACCAGGACAGGCAGGGGCAGCGTTTACGCCGGCTAACGCGCTTGCAGTATCTATTGAGCGACTTCGTCGTCGTGTGGCGCGCTTGGGTGCTCTGGCCGGACAATCGCTACGTCCGCGCTTTGCTCGCGTTATGCATGTGCGGAAGTACAAGTGAGTTTCTCATTGTTGGTATTTGTTCCACGGCGGTGCTAACTCGCACTCCAGTCGGCGTCATCATCGAAGTCTACTGGGCGTTCCAGCTCTACGGCACCCTCCAGCTCGCCAGCCGCACGCTCTTGATGATGGTCCCCCTGCTGGTGACAAACATGGTGACGACGGTGCTGATGGCCGCGCGCGTTTGGTGAGTGGGTATTCCTCTAGTCTGAGCAGTAATCGAAATATTATTTGTCTTCAAGCCTTTGCTCATCGCATGCCCGGCTGACTTACGCATCCCGCAGGTTCTACCGCCGCGACATCAAGAGGTCGCTTGGCAAGTCAAATAGGACGCGGGTGGAGGGCGTTCTCCTGCTTCTCGTCGAGTCCGGTTTCGTGTACTGCGGGCTTTGGGTGCGTTCTAGTTCCATTGCTCACTGTCCTTGTCTGCCGTGTTTCGAATATTGTTAACGTTTGTCTGGCTTTCGCTAACCTCTCACCTAGATCATGTTCATCGTCCTACGGCAGTCCTCGGAATCGAACGCCGACGCGTACGGCATTGTAAAAACTGCCTTCCACAGCCTGGCAGTACGTTCTTTAACTGCCCCCCTACCACTTATGACCGATCCAAACTCATCCTCTCTTCACCTTCCAGGGTATCTACCCAACCTTCATCGTCCTCGCCGTCGCCGCCCAGCGCTCGACCGCCGAGTCCATGTTCACCTCCGTGCAACTCTCCCGCCCGATCAACTTCGCGCCCAGCGACAACGCGCGGTCCGATGCCGGCACCTCTTCCGACACCGGCATGGGAACGGGCGACTACACGGCAGCTGATACGGGGTACTACTCAGGTGATACGGGTTACTACTCAGCTGCCACGGGCGACTACTCAGCTGCCACGGGCGACTACTCTGGCGACACGTCGACGCGGGTCGCGTCCGAGCATATACACCTAGAGCAGCGTCGGAAGGATGGAGACCGACGTCGAAAGGATGGAGAGCGGTGTCGGAAGACGGCCGAGCGCTCGCAGCTCTCGGATAATGCAGACAGATGACGGGCTGCGCGTGGGCAGTGGACCTGCCAGCACAAGTATCAACGCGAGCGGAAGCAGCAGCAGTGGGAGACGAAGCAGCAGTGCAAGGCGAAGTACTTAGCAATGCAGGCGGCAGTCGTACTATGTATTACGGGGATGTGTGAATGCACTTTTGCCAAAGGGATGTCAACGAAAACGCTGCAGGGGTGCGAGCGAGCGAACGCCGCGCCTGGAAGCTCTATACAAGCAGGCGGAAGGTTCAAACTCTTCCTCTCTCGCATAAACAGTAGGTGTGTCCACGTGGAGGTCACAATGTGCCTGTTCTCTTTTCCTACCATGCGAAGACCTGCGAAGACCAACAACCTCAGGATAATGCAGGAGGAAAAAAGGAAGCGACCACTACTTATATTTATGCATTAAGGGGGAATCGAACCCCCGGCGGGTCGAGTAGACAGAGACCACTCATGGCAACGACCCAGGTTACCACTACCCCATTAATGCCTGTAAGGAGTAGCAGGTGCAGTTTTTATAGTATGCGCGCCTCCCTCGAGTTCGACTTCTCGCCCGTCTGCCACAGATACAGCCGCACCGTCCACAGTCACCTCACCATCCACTGGGAGCACTGCCACACCATTCGTACCTTGTGGTGCGGTGACATTCATCTCGAACCCAGCACCATCCTCGTCCATCGTCCAGCTCACCCCGAACCACCCCAACGGCGTCTCGAAGCCACCCTCCGCCGCGGGGAGGCCGGCAGTCTGCGGTTGCACGCGGAACGCTCTCCCCGCTGGCTCCGTGACGCTGAGACCGAGAACGTACGCCGTGAGAGCTGGCGTCGGGCCGGCACTCCAGCCATGGGCGTGTGATATATAGGACGCGTCGTCTGTGTAGCCCGCGTCTGCGCGATATCTGCAGTGTTCATTCTCGTAAGCAATGATGCACCGCAGAGCCCCGCGTGTAAGCTCACAGAAGCGACCCATTCGACGTGTATCCCTCAAGGAGGGTCGACTGCACGCTCACGTTGGTGGTGAGCATCCACCCCCACTGCAGCCGGATGAGATCGAGCGCGCGTTCAGCCTCGCCCGCCTCAAAGTGCGCATGTACCTATTAGACGCGCGTATATGTGAGCTTCCGCTGTGCAAGCGACTATGAGCGGCTCACCTCCATGCTGCCCGCAAACGGTGCTACATTGTCCGGCAGCTCCGGCGCGACTGCGCCCACATCCACCCAGTTACCAGTCAAGCCCTCGCTGACGCGCTTCTTGCGGTCGTCCGATGTGGCGTTGAACCAGACCGCGAGCGAGTTGCCGTCCTGAGGATGGAGCGTGGTAGTCGTATTGTCGAAGAACAACCCGGCATCCTCATCCCATAAAGCGTCGTTGAGTGCGGTCTTGAGGGATGCCGCGTTCGTTAGCCAGATGTTCGCGGTGTTGGCATCTCCGAGCGCGTTTGCGATGTCGGCGCCATTGAGCAAGACCTGCGATGTTCAGGGTCGCATCAAGATCAGAACAGATGAAGATTGTAGACGGACCTTGTAGTATAGCGCATTCGGTGACAGGCTAAAGCCTCCTCCTCCCAGGCGACCCCAATCCTTGCTACCCGTGGCGTTGAGTAGGCCCGCACCCGTGTCGACCTTTGCCGTCAAATAAGCCACTCCTGCGACAAATTGCTCCCAGTTCGTATCAATCCAGTCCGTGTCGCCCGAGTGGAGCCAGTAGTTGTAGGCGCCAATGAGGGACCAGGCGTGGTATGTATCACTGGTAATTCGAATCAGATATCTTCGATGAGCGGACAAGGGAGAAAACTCTTGGAGGAGGGAAATAAATACCCACCTTCGTCCAGCGGCGCAGCTAATGAGCGGACCAGAGCAAGGAAGCCCGCCCGTAGATGCATCCTGGAGGGAGAATATCTCGTCGAGGCTGTTGCGGATCGAGACGAGGTCGTCGAGTGCGACAAAAGCTGCGGGACCAGCAATGCCCATGTCCCCTGCACCCGATGTTATCGGAAGATAAAAAAACAGACGAGACCGACGCACCTGGCCATACGGTGCTGGTATAGAAGTCGATTGAGTCGCGTTCAGAGCACACACTAATCAACAGACGTACCGATCCCGCTTTCCACCATCGACGATGACTGGGCTAGCTATGCCGATCGTGCCACTGTTGTTCCAGCCTATGAAATTCTTGAGTTCGTCTATGGCGACGCCCGAGGAGCACACTACCTTGTCTCACTTGCACTCTTCCCTCGTTTGCAGCTATGATGTTCGTCTGGATCGTGTATGCGCCCGAGTACCAGATTTTGGTGAGCAGGTCTTCGTCCTCCATGCCGGGGTCTGTCGCGTAGAAGTATCCCTTATAGCCCCGTAGGTCGTCCACATGCGGCATGAATGTGATGGAGCACGAGACGTTTGAGAGGGTCAAGCTATCTCCCTCGACCAGGGATATCGTGAGATAGCGAAAGCCGCCGCGCTGCGTGCCGGTGGGCTGCGTCCAAAGGCCAGAGCCGAGAGGGGCGGGTATCGTTATTACGCCGTCGACAGACATATTCGGTGCGGAGATTGACGAATCATCGGAGAGGGCAGGATTGACGAAGAGGGGAGACTCGGTGAATGCCAGCGTCACCGACGCGTCGTCTGAGGTTGTCGAGTCAAACTTCATGGATATGATGCCTCCGACCTAAGGATTGTGAGTTTACATTTTCACGGTACGATGCATGAACGACGAACCTCTCTCCCGAAGTCAAGGGCGATCCAGGAGCCCGCGCTGCTCAATCTGGCTGAGTCTCCTTCCGGAATGGCGAGATTATCCGCGTTGACGACGTCACCACTAATCTCGTATACGGATGTAGGATACACTGTGCGCGATGATGGGGCGTAGTTGAAGTCGTCCCATGGTCCGGAAGGCGCAGAGGCGGCTGCTCTGAGCGAGGACGCACAGATTAGAGTGAGGTAAGTCAGGTTCATCATTAGGCGCCGAAAGAGACACGATTTCAGGTTGGCGAGACGTCCGGCTCCCGTCACAAATCAGTCCTCTTATAGAGGACGGCGAGCGTGCTCACGAGGACAAGTTCAACGGCCCGAGCGCAAGGTCATGCATGTCAGAGGGTACAAGAGGACATGGTAAGAGCCGTGCGAAGGGTGCGTCATGCAGTACGAGTAAGAAGTTCTGCAATATCGGACTTATGGAAGCGTTTATCAATGCTTTGAGGCGATGGTGGAAGTTTGGGAAAAACGAACATTGAGAAGGATGACGTCACTTTTCGAGGCCACGCGCGCGAGGTCTCTCTTGCTGCACTTGACTCCCTCCGTGAGGATAGCGCGACGCGACATCAGGAAAAGGGTCTTGTGACTGTAGGCGCCCTCGAGTGCCCTGTGGGCGTCTCAGGGAGGTCAACGCTGCCAACGCCGACAGGGATAGGGTCCTCCGTTAGAAAATTCCTGGGGGCTCCTGAGGTGCCCTGCAGCGGCTTGAAGTTCTCATAAACATGTAGGGTCGTCGGTATAATTGCTTGTTTGCCAGGGATAGCTTGGTATTCGGGATACTTTCAGTTGTTTTGTTGGCACCAAAATGACATTTATATTTGATTTCCTATCTACAGACTACAGCTACATGGCTGCAGGTCCCCAATATACATACATATACCCAGTCTCAAGCTACAACCATACACTTCTCCTTGGAACCACGATGTCTCCCTACCGTAACTCGCTCACGCACCATGCGCGTTGACATGGGCGCGCATCGTGCCTTTGCACGACCTTACTTCACCCATCTACATGTCTCTCTCATGAGCTCTCATGGCGCTAGATGCACGGGTACGCGCTCACCTTGCTCAGGCCTCGGGCCATGCTCCGACGTGTGCCGAACGCGCCCAAATGTTCGCGGCACGCCGTCACCACCACGTCGCTCGCCCGAACTTGCTAGTCTGAGTCAGAACCGTGTATGAGCTGCAGCGCGGCATGCCAAGGGTGATACCATACAGGGAAGACACGATGTCCATCGACGCCGGCGTGCTCCTTGAGGGGTAGTACGGAAGGCTAGTGCCGCGCGTTACGCAGCCTGCGCGCTCGCTTGCGGCCGGCTGAAGGTGAAGCATGAGAGCGAAAGCGGCAAAGAGTGGGGCGTGGACATGGAGGCCGAAACGGACGGCACGTCGCCCGCCGCACAGCACAAGATCGTCGAGGGCTCGCCGCGAAGGTGTAGGCGCTATGCCTGGCGCAGAAGCCGGCGGCGGCGCGCACCGACTCCTTCTCGAACATCAGGGAGACGCCGAGTTTGTTCACGGCTACCTTTGCCAACTGTATCCAGGGGCGGGCTCCGATCACCGACGACTTGTCAAAGAGGCGGAGTGGAAGGGGGGGTGTTGGCTATCTTCTCCACAGGAATCTACCTTGAACACGGTGAGTACGATCAACGAGCGGTATGTTCAGGTTCACACACCCCCGCACCCGCATCGTCGCTCGACTCCTGCTGAACATTCTGGGAGGCTAGCAAACTGTTCTCGCGAGGGCAATCGTATGGATAGGTGACATGTCCATTAGTGAACGGGGCACGTTGCAAGCGATGAAGGTGACTCACAAAAGGAGCAGAATAACGGTAGGGGCGTGTGTAGTCGGCGTACAAAGGTCGTGGGTCGGCATCTGTATCGCAGTTGGGGTCGTCGTTGTCCACATCTAAAGAAGAGAGAGGATTCCATGTTGTGGCACCGCCATAATGACGGGGACGATCGTCGACGGAGTTGAAGTCAGGTCGGCTGCATGCTGGCTGCATGACGGTGAGTGAAGAACGTTGAGTACAAGTTGAAGAGGAAATCACGCCACGTCGTTTCAACCGCAGCAGTCACGTGAACCTCACTTGAGGGCTGGCCGGCTTTACTTGAACCTTGCTTCGAGGCCGCCGCGACGGCCGCTGGTACACGACAATGGATTTACCCATGCATGCCACAGCCCCATTTTGAGTTGACAAGTTAACTTCCTAAGTAGTACCCACGTTGCCGAGGCTCAGCGCTCAGTGCTCACGCACTTGCCGTCACAAATTGAGGTTCCGTAGTCACTGGTCCTCACTTCTTAGGTTTTGTATCACCTGAAGGTGTAAGGATCAATGCTACGACGGTAACGCGCCTCAGACTTCCAAGGTAAGTAGGCGGAGCTGACAGGGCGCAGGAGTGTCCCCAGGTGCCTTCGCTAGGCTTGTTGGCAGCGAGGGAGCCTCAACGCGCTCCTGGGAGCCCACGGCACCCCACGGCGCCCTCCGGAGCGTTCACGCGGAGCAAGATCGCTAACGCGCCTGGACTGGGACCCCCTTTTCCTGATGCGATCTCCTGCCAAAAGAGGAACAAGCCAATACGATGGTCAGCTACTTCGTTATATGAATCTACGTCTAGTCTCAAACTCAGCCAACAGCCCTCCTCTGCTATCTGGCGGAAATTCATCGCTGCTCACCCCTCGCTTCGAGGAGAAAGCCCTCTACCGCCTCATGTGCTCACGCATCAACTACTTCAGGATCT